AAAGTCACACGACTAATGACAAGCTCCTTCTATCCAAGATTTGCACAGATTCTTGCACCAGCAATAGTGGGCCTTAAGGTTACATCCTCTGTAGACTCTTTCTGGGCAGTTATACTGTTAAGATTTTGAACTCTTCCTATCCAAGAGTGCTTGGCCACTGATAAAAGCCAGCTGACTCATCCTAAGGAGGAAGTGTGTTTAGGAAGGCTGTAAGTTTCAAGGTTAGTCAGGAGAGACCAGGGATTAGATCTTCTTGTAGGTGAAGCTGATGCCTGATCTACCCCTTGAAGCAGCATGCTTTAGCCAAGAAAAGGATGTAGGACAGCCATGCAAGCAGAACCGCACTTTCATTCAGATGGAAATGTGAAAGAGCCAGGCATGTGGGTGAAGCCACAAGCAGTTCTGGGTGGCTAGAGTTCGTGGTGTGTTCATTCACTTAGTTCCTTAATCATTCAATCCACAAATATTTTGTGCCTACTGTGCGTTGGAAGTGAAGCAAAAGAAGAAAGAGCAATCTCTCTCTCTCTCTCTTCTCTGTCTCTCTCTCTCTCTCTCTCTCTCACACACACACACACACACACACACACACACACACACACTCCAGATTGTAAACTAAGTAAGGTCTTTAGAGGGGACCTGGCACTCTTTGGATCATTGCTAAAGGAATACGAGCATATTTTTGGAATATTTACTGCAGAGTTGGAGGGGGTTAGAGGAAATTTTGGAGCATCCCAATTCTCTTTTGTCTGTGGTCTCTCCCAGAAACAATGAAATTTCTGGGTGATAAAAATGTATTTTCATTAAATTGAATGTGCCTTCTTTTTTTCTACATCTGCTGCTACAACTTCAGTCTAACATTTACTGTTATATTTGCAAATGTTATAGAGAACATGCAGTCAGCAGGATGTTAACAAGCCAAATGATAAGCAGCTCTATCATAAAATTGGCTTAGGGAATGCCTCAATCATAAAAGGTTAAATACCTTTCTTTAAAGTAGGACATCCTAGCTTTGTAATATCCTGATTACCAATGTGTAATTTTTTTCTGAGGAGGATGTAGTATACAGTATTTCCCACATTTACGTGGCAGGAGCCTTTTTAATGGGACTTTATCTTGTAAGACTGGTGAGGAACACCAATCAGTACCTTGGATGCACACAGTAATAGTGGAGACAAGTTTGAAAGATGGAGTGGAGACAGATTGAAGGAAAGTTTTGAATTCATTTTATTAGATGCCCAGCAGTCACCAGAAGAATTTGCACTGGGAGTGGCTGACCACAGCCCTACCTTGTCCTGTGAGTTGGGTTCCAAAGGAAGATTCTGCATCTCTGAAGAAGTGACAAAAGCATCCCATGAAAGAAAGAGCCAGCCAGCCAGCATTATGTCGCCAAAGCCCAGAGGCCAGATCACACCCGTGCTGGTCAAATGTAGCCGTCTCTGCCCTTGAAGTTCCTTCTTTCCTCTGTGTTCTGAACTCCTGAGATTCTAGAGGTGCTCAGCCAGCCAGTGGGAGAGCAGACAGAGTGAGGAGGGAGACAACAAGCCAACACCATCATCCCCTTCAGTGGGATCTACCAGCAGATGGAAGCAGACCCCAGCTGGGGAAGCAGAAAAGCCTAATTGAGCAAGAGTTTGTTATTACTATTGGGCTAGAGGTTTATAATGATAAGGTTGGACAACTATTCGTAGTATCTATGAGTGTTGGAAAATCTCTATAATAAATAAGCCTGAGGTTTTATCCAAATGGAAGAATTTTCTTTAAAAAATCTTTAAAAGATCTTAAAAAGATCTTTGAGAGGAAGAAAGAATGAGAATTTCCTGTTTGTACCTTCCTGAGTCCAGCTTGTCCAATAGGCCAATTCTACATGTCTCAATTGGTGAATATGACCACTGGGCTTGTCCAGCTCCCCTCTTTGGGAAACACCATTCTATTTATACGGTTCTAGTGGGTGTTGCCAACCACAGGACCCCACTGCCATGGCCATAGCGCTGATATATACCCTCAAACCAGTCCAATCAGAAGACTTTCCTGAGGTTTTAAAAATTGGGATTGTTGACCTGAACAGGGAGCCTAAGAGATGCACCCCTGCTTCCAGCAGTACAAACCAAGAACACTAACTAACATAGAGAGAGGAGTAGGTATGAGGTGTGGTGGTATTTGAGCTCCTGGTCCTAGTTCTCCTTGACAGCTAGTTATATCCCTGCCCTTTTCCCGTTTTGGTAATAGATCATAAATATTCTCCCTTTTTGCCTAAAGAACTTTGAGCTTCTGGCACTTGCAATCAAGTGCTCTCTAAGATGAAATGGTATCTTGTCAAGGGGCAAAAAGATACCTGTGTGAAAACTGCCGAGTAAAACAAAGAGCAGCCTCTGACATCCAGAAGCTGGCCCGGCACTCACAGCTAGGCCATATTGTTCTCCTCCTGGACAGAAACAGCCTCACAGACTATCAACTTCAGACAAGGTGATGCTGACACTATAAAATGAGACAAAGCATGACCACTTCCTAATTTTGCATAAGCACAGACAAAAATAAATTCACTGTGACACCCTCATAATACCATAAACACTCTTCTCTTGCCTAAGCTGATGGCCACCTCTTTACCAATTATTACTTTATCCTAGTTCTAGTCTCTTCTCCCTATAAATATATTTATTGAGATAATCAGTCACATAATTTCCCCCTTTCTAACAGCATGAAATGTAGAAGGAAACTGCTTCCATTTGCCCTCCCCCAAATCACCCAAAGAAAACCCAACTTTTCAAGAGCCTTCCTAGTGAGACACCCCTAAGGTCTCCATACCGTGTATCCTCCTTCATTTCAGTAATAAACCAAACTTGTTCTTTGACTGGAAGACATTAACACTGTTAAAAAAAAAAAATGTTGGCTTTCTATGCAGCCATTTGTCTCCCAGAATGCCTGGAAGAGACTATTTTTAAAACTAAAATGGTTGGAACCTTGCAGAAGTGCTTAAAGAAACCAATTGAGCTATATCTACCTTAATTTTTAAATACCTTGGAAGGTGTAGTGGATGCTGTGGCGAACCGCTGAGCTCTCCCCTTCGGGACCCAGGCACCTATTCCTCTACTTGCCCAGAGTGTTCACGCTTCACAACTGAGATCCTCCTTTGGAATTGTTTTTGGGCAAAGCTTTTTGCTGAAGGGCACACTTCCTCCCTGGGACTGCCTAGATCCAATATTGATTGGCTGAGATGAGGTTGAGGCAGTCCGGCCCCTTTTTGGCATCAACTCTGTAGGGCCATTCCCCATGGGGTCTGCTAAGGTTCTGCTGCAACCTGCAATTGCATTGCAGATCATCATTCTCCCTCTTCCCAATCCAGTTTATTTCACTCCCTCATAAATCAGAGCACTCCCCCAAACCTGCTGCACGTACCCCTCCATCTTAGGTTCTATTTCCTGGAGAACTGACTTAAGATAAGAGAGCTAAGAGTTCAAAACTGGCTACCCAGCAATTCTCACAAAGAACCAGAAAAGTTCCATCATTGAAAAGTCCCATAACTTGCCCAATATGTACAATAGGTGGTTTGCTGAACAGGTTGGGGAGGGGCAAAGTCACATGACAGGACAGTTTCTCCCATGCACAGAAAGATGGAGCAAGACTAGGGAGTGGCAAGAGATTAGAATGGCTAATATATGACCTAGTGTAATTAGCAACTAATGACCAATTCATTGCCTTTTTTTGTTAGTTTAATACAGAATTATATGTTTATAGGAAGAAAATAAGTTTTTTAAGTCCCCTTTGGTAATGTGGGAGTGCACCTGGCTGTTTGGACTGTCAAGCTAGAAGTTACATCTTGTATTCAACTAGTTGTCACATGTATCTAAATCATAGATTCCAGGAGGGAGTTTTATTATAATTCCTGGTTTTGCCAATTGAAATCCATTAAGTTACAATTTCAAAATAACTGACTCCTTAAATCTAAATTCCTCTGTTACGCTCTCAGCAACATGGTTCTATCCTCTGCAGCATCCCTGCCTGTGACCGCCCAACACCAAGTTCATGCCCCACTCCCTTCTATCTTACTGTTCATTCTGCTACCCTACTCCTCACTCAACCAAATTCTACCCACCTTTGAAAGGTCTGATCCTCTTCCATGGAGCCTTTTGTTCAGGTCCATCTTTGATAGTCCCTTCCTACCCTAACTCTTCTTACCCCATTTTCTACAGTGTAGCTCAGATCCTATTGGACCCCATCATGCTTAGCACAGGGCTATGCACATGTAGCTGCTTAGCACAGGGCTATATGCACATGTAGCTGAGAAATACAATATTTCTCACAGTTTTATTAATATATAATTTATATACCATAAATTCATCTGTTTTAAGAATATGATTCGATGATTCTTAGTAAAAACTTACATAGTTGTGCAATCATTACCACACTCCAATTTTAGAACATTTTCATCACCCTAAAAAAATCTCTTGCACTACTCCCCACTACTTCCCATTCCCATCCCTAGGTCCAGACAACCACTAGTCTGCTTTCTGCCTCTCCAGATTGCAAGAAATATTTTTTAAGCTCCTCATATGGAGCACCTTTACCAATTTTCCAATGGCTACCATCACTTATTATTGAGTCCCCTTTACAAATAACCTAAGGTAGACATTTGAATAATTAAACATTGTTAAATAAATGGCACTGAAAACCCCCTCCTCACTAACAAATTGATAGTATTTACTTCTTATTACAATAAAAAGATGTCATTTTTAGGTAAAATCTAAATTCCTAGATTTATTTTAAACTCAATGTTTATTCAACTGGGGTTTGTTTTGAAAACGGAAAAACAGGAAGAAGGAGTGAACAGATAACATGATGCCACCTTGAGAGCATTCAAACAAGTCACTTCACTCATGGAAATTAAATAGGTCAGACAAACATCCTTTCCTGCATTTCCTTGTTTTAAACCCCAGGGATGAGGACTCCTCCTGAGAACAATTATAAAGGACAGCTTGCAGAAGTTCAGGATGTTTCTTCCTGTGTAAGTCAAACACAAGCCAAGGCTTACATCTTTTATTAGTTTTACTTATATTCAGTTAAATGGGTCATCCCTTGTGCATTTTCTTACATATTAAGAAACTTTAAAAAATTATGTTTGAACTCATTTTAAATTGTGGCCATTTGATCAACTATCTTATAAGCAAATAAATAAGAGAAGGAAAGCAAAATTACATCCTGCCCTGCTTTGAACAAACTGGTGAAACATTAATTGATAATAAAAGTTCATTTAGAAATATTTTAATGAAATTGAAACCAGATACACAGCTAACATTCAAAGCACATCAAGAACAATGGTAGTTGTGACTTTTATTTTGGCATCGTAAAAGTTTAATTTTATTTATTTATTTATTTATTTATTTATTTATTTATTTATTTATTTATATTTTGTGATGCCAAAATAAAGCAATATTATTTCACAGGTAGAAAACACATTTTAACAAAAAAGCAATAAAACAATGTGTCTTGTGTGCAAAGGTGATATATAATGGGAAAGTGAAAATGAGTCCTCCTCCACACATTCATATTGTTGAGAGACTGTAGACGCTTTCAGAACCACCAATACAATGGATATTACTTTTTCCAGGATTCTGTGAGCTTAGCCCTGAGAATACTGAACGATTTTTAAAATATTTTATTTATTTATTTGAAAGAGAGAGAGAGCACAAACGCAGGGGGAGCGGCAGGCAGAGGGAAAGGGAGAAGCAGGCTTCCCTCCCCCATGAGGCAGAGAGTCCCCTGAGGGGGTGGATCCCGGGGTCCTGGGATCATGACCTGAGCCATAGGCAGACACTTAATGGACTGAGCCACCCAGGCACCCCAATATCGAACTATTTAAATGAAAGTTCTAAAATGTGACATCTCAAATGCTCCCTAAATTTAGCAAACAGATGCTTCTAATAAAGAAATTACCTCAGCTTTATAATTTCAACCCTCTCTTATATTTAAATACCAGAACTATAAAGGTTTTAAAAAGCTATTCTTGTTTATTTCCAATAATTAGATTCTTTTTATCGTAAAACAAGAATAACACTTAAAATCATAGTCTTTCTAGAGTAGAACTAACCTATATATACATAGCATATTATTTTATGACATGGTAATATATTTAATGTGAATGCATTATACCATGATCATCATTAATTATAGGGGATTATTTAAGATTACTCAAGGTTATTTAAGATTTTGTTTATCACCAAAATTTTCAAGATCAGAACTCAAAGAATCCAGTGGGACCAAATGATTTGACCAGGGCCATCTCCTGAGTCTGAGACCAAGAGAAAAGAATATTTTATTTCCACAAAGCTAATCTACTTATTAACCTTCAGGAAGTAAGCCTTTCTGTAATCCTTTTTTTTTTTTAAATACTTCTAAGCAAGAGAATTGTTTCTTCTAACAACTATAGCAGAAACTCAAATAGCAGGAAAATATAAGTGAGCATAAGTAATCGAAATGAATCACAAATGTTTTCTGACCATGAATCTGTATACTGAAATGGGATTTAACACCTAACAAAATGAACACTGAGACAGAGACAACTAAAATAAAAGCTTCCCAATTGAAAAAATATTATAACTAAGCTTTTAAAAATTGGGGTATATATTTTACTCTTTTACAGTTGAAATAGCATTGTATCCACTAAAACAATTATCTTTTATTCTACTATGAGTGCATCCAAAAAATCTCCAAATATAATTATCAGAAACCTTCACATAATTCTCACTTTTCTTTAAATGAAGAATATTTTAAAACTTTTCTAAGTTGTCACAGACCTCAGTTACCAATTATATATTCTGATATATTTATTTTGGGCCCATTTAACTCTGTTGGCAATGAAAGGCCTGAAATAGGAAGATAAAAGAGATGGAAGTGTGGGATAATACTCTCTAACTATGAATAAACAAATTTATACGATCTTCAAATAAAACCTAAATTTACTATGAAACTTTTAAGATGAGAAAGTTACTCCTCTGTTACTTTAGTCTTTAAATAAATTTAATGTATTGAATTTCTGGATCCAAGTGCTACTTGCAATTTATGATGAAAGGCATTTACCCGTTCTTTCTGAACTGGCCAGTTCAAGATGCAGTGAGATTTAAACATCCCTCTTCGCAAACAGAGTGCATGGTTCAGTTTATAGTCTGGAATCTCCTCAAGAAAGATCAATATAATGGACTCTAGATTTTGTTCAATAGCTTGCTGAACTGCCTGGTGCACTTTGAATCTAGTAAAAAAAAATATTGAAATAAGTTACATATCAGTATACAGTATTCAACAGCCAAAATCTCCAACATCCCCCCTTACATTTGCTTTTACCTGTCACTAATAATCAGGTTATTTTTTTAAAACTTATTTTTAAAAATTTTTGAGTGGTGAGTCATAATATAAGTAATATTTAAAAGCTTAATTGAAAAGTACACACTTAAAATTTCCACAATGTTCACCTACCTTTTGCATAATGGATCCTTTAATAGATGCTGTGTTATAACAAAAATAGTTTTTCTACTCTTTTTGATGCTATTAACGATTGACTCGAGTTCAAGGACACCTGCCTCAAAGTCCCTCTCTTCGAGACAAAATTTGAGAGTTTTATCTTTTTCTTCCATTGGAGAGAAGTGTTCCCAGACCCAATCTCTATCTTTATAGGCATGAATTATATAAGCTGCATATTCAAACTGCTCTGGCTGTTTGTCTATTTCTTTGAAACCAAGAATTCGGTGCACTGAAACATTCCAATAAAAAGATATCCTCCAGCCTTCAAAATGGATCAGCAGCACAATAAAGACAAAAGTCAATAAGACACTGGTATTTATTATGAAAAAGATTTCAAAGGGGGCACTGTCTTTGCAGGGTGATATATCAAAAAGCATCACTGGGAAACCATGATACTGAGGTGGAGTGTTGCAGAGGTAATGGCTTGATAACTCAGAGATGTTGGTATGGGTGCTGTTAATCCAATTAACAAACCAGGCAATACTTTCACAGGTACAATCAAATGGATTAAAGCTCATATCTAAATTACTGAGGTTCCTGAAGGCTGGCCCAAAAACATTCTTCTCAACTGATGTTATGAGATTCTTCTGAAGGTTCAATGACTTCAGAGACACCTGATCATTAAAGAGAGATGATGGAAATATGTTTAAATTATTCAATCCTAAATCAATGCTCTTTAATTCAGATAAGCCCTTGAACACCTCTGCTGGGATCTCATCAAAGCCATTAGACTCTAAATTAAGAATGTGGAGGTGAGAAAGACCCTTTAGAAAATGAACAGGACCACCGGGGTTTGCATGTTTCCATAGCCTTGCTAAGTTGTTATGCTGCATATCCAGAATTTCTAACTTCTCAAGACCTTCCAACAGCTCATCATTTATGTTGGCTATATTGTTGTTGCTTAGATCCAGAATGTTCAAGTTCCGAAGAGGATGAAAAGGTGAAGGGGAGCTGTCCACATTTCTAAGGGCCGTTCTTCGGAGCATCAGTCGTCGGAGGCTGGGAATCAAGGCAAAAGAGCTGCTCGTCAGTTGTAGGCATTTGTTGTAGGAAAGGTAGATTTCGACAATATTTTCTAGACCTCTCCACTCTTGGCCTGTGAGTTCTTGTCCAATTTCATTAAGGCCAAGGTCAAGTACCTGTAGGTGGCCCAGCCAAGAAAAAGCACCACTCTCTATTTTTGAGATTTTGTTTTTGGTTAGATTGAGTGTGATTAAAGGAGACTGAGCAAGTGACAAAAATGTTTCATTGGTTAAAGTTTGCAAACTTGTGAAGGAGTTGGAGAGACTCAAGTGTTTCAACTTTATCAATCCTGTGAACATATTGTTTTTTATGCCTGCAAAGTAGTTGTCTTCCATGTTCAGATACTGCAAACATTTTAGCCACTGAAAGGAAAAATCATCAATCCTGGGATGCGAAGCAAGGGAAGTACTTTGTTTAGCAAAAGATCGTTTCAAATCCAGGTATCTTACATTGAGAAGCCCATAAAAGGAGTGGGAAAACAAATGCTCTATATTATTATACTCCAGGAAGAAATATTCTAGATGTGGAAGCCAGACAAAGGAATTGTTCTCAATCACATTCAAGTTGTTGTGGGAAAGATCGAGCATGGTGAGATTCGTATGCTTTAGTCCAAGGAACGTCATATTGCTTGTTCTGTACAGCTGGGTGTTGCTTAAGGATAGATTCTGGATACTTGTATTTGACAGTTCCAAACAAAGGTTCGCTGTGAGACTGGGGTTCAGCTGAACGTTGTTCAGAGAGAGGCCAAATAACTTTCCAATTGCAAGGAAACACCCTGGAGAGAACTAAAGGTGAGGGGGAAAGGAGGTTAATAACCAAAACACAGTGGTGTCCTCAGGACTCTTGAAATGTTGAAACAATTCTTTACTCAGTCCCTTGCCCCTTCACCATCTTCTCTGTGTTTTCTCCCTATCCCTCACTGCACAGCTCCTTACTCTGTGCCTGCCACACCTACCTCATGCTCCAGCCCCTCACCTTTCCTGGCCACTGCTTACCTTCCACTCATCATTTAAGGCCTCCTCTTCAGGGGGCCTCCCCTGAAACCTCAGTCTATCAGTCTAGGTTAAGTCCCTGGTGCTTTTACTTGATCACACTGAGTATAATTGTAATTAATAAACTATTTGTAAAGTCACCCCTGGGGCAGATCCTGTTTCTGTCCTCATCACCCCTGTTCCCAGTGAATAACATGGAATGGATGGGTGGATCTTATTAAAAGCAGTGATTCACACTTTCCCTTCTGTGACTCTGAGTTCCAGCCTTTCTCTTTGTCTTTCCACCAAGGTTTTCTTCTGACTTTATTTCATGACACCACCTCCAGCTCCCCTACTCCCCTCCTGCTCCCCGCACCGGAAGCCTTGGCTGCTGTGTGATTCAGCACCAGGGCAAGAGAATGGATGGCAGGAGAGAAGGAATCCAGAGAGGACTGGTAGCCAGTCCTGAGCAGTGGTTAAACACCAGGAGCACAAAGAGGATCTGACTCCTACGGTGCCATTGGTGAGACGTTAGGGTTCATGGAAGAAAAGGCAAAAATTAGGAGGAAGATGTACTTTTTCGTAAGTAAAGTGAATTGGACTACAAAACAGAAAATTGTTAAATTAATTAGGATGGACTTACATGACAGCACTATATTACAGTAATTGAAGTTGAGTTTTTGAATAATTCTCAGTGATATGGAGAATGTTCGTGATGTTGTATTATTTTTAGACAGCAGGATATATATACTGTTGCCTCAGGGAGGCAACGTGGTGTAGCTGTTAGGAGCATGGGCTCTGATCTAACACTGCCAGAAACCCAATTCCGTCACCAGAAAATCACTTGTGAGACCTTGGTTCCTCAACCCTACTTCATCTCAATTTACCCTTGTGTAAAATGATGGTAAGAATAAGTTAGTTACAAGACTATGCATATATAGCTTATCACAGAGCCTGACGCACAGTGTAATTTGAATTTATACTCTGAATTTCACCTGCTATCTTTTTTTCCAATTATCACTTGGAGTAAAGCTGGAGATAAAAATACCCAAATGCTAACATTGGTTGTTTCTGGACTGTGGGCTTTTGGATGATTTTAATCTCCCCCCTCATTACTTACATATTTTATAACACTTCCGCAATAAATGTTCTAAATTTTAAAAAATGCTATTCAAATCTTAGCATGAGTATTGCATAAAATGTTCATTTGTTGTTTGTTTATATTTTATTATCTCAGGACCAATACACAGTCTATTTTTATTCTGAAAATCAATACAGCTTGTAAAAATCTGATTTAGTTTATGCTTGCCAATATTCTTATTCTCAGCCTGTAAAGGAAAAAGAATATACACATACCCATATATAAAAGTGATTAATGAACTGAGTATCATGATCCAAAGAGAAGGTTAGTTACATACATTCCATTGTAAGAGGATTTTTATAATAATCTAATACTAGTTTTCATTTATGGAGCACTTACATGCCAGACACTGTGCTAAATTCTTTACCATACAGCCTAGGAAGTAGTTTTATCATTAGGCCAATTTTATGAGTGGGGAACTAGAGTAAAGAACTTGAATAATTTGCCTGATTATATAATTATTAGGAGAGAAAGCCCAGGGGTGCCTGGGTGGCTCAGTCTGTTAAGTCTCTGCCTTCAACTTGTGTCATGATCTTGGGGTCCTGGGATCGAGCCCCTTGTTGGGCTCCCTGCTTGTTGGGGAGCCTGCTTCTCCCTCTCACTCTGCCTGCTGCTTCCCCTGTTTATCCTCTGTCTCTCCCTCTGTCAAATGAATGAATGAATGAATGAATGAATGAATATCAATCTAAAAAGAGAGAGAGAGAGCAAGACCAGATGCAGAGCTAGCTAACCTAACTCTAAAGCCTGTGCTCTTAAGTATCCTGCTTTTTTATTCTTTCAGAGATTTTGTGTGATAAATAGTATTGTTTCCACTTTACAGGTGAGGAAACTAAGACCCAGAGAGGTTATGTAAGTTCCCCAAGGTCAAAGTACTGGCCTAGAATTGGAAGAGGAATTTCAACCCACTTCTATCAGACAGCAGAGCCTAAGCTCCTAATTGCTACCAGACTCTCCCATATTGTAAGGATGAAATGAATGGTCCCAAGCAGGAAGTATGAAGGATTTCTGGAACACGGGGCAAGCATGAGGTGGTAACCCCTTTCTCTAGGGAATCTTTAGATTCTTACCCATGTGACACAGTTAGGGGCTGCCCACACTTAAAGGTAGAACACAAAAAAAATTTACCTTGCTTCTTACCTCTTTAATTGGATTTGATGACAACTCCAATTTTTCTAAAGAAGAATTACCAAGGAAATCAAGTTCTTCACGTCTCAGTACATTAATTTTATTATTTGATAACAGAAGCTCCTGGAGATTTTCCAATTGGAGCTGACTTCCTAATTTAGTAGATGACAAACCATTATGAGATAGATCTAATTTGACTAAATTCTGAGAAAGAAAAAATATGTATGTTAGTTAGAGTCTTGCTTCCAAAAATAGTTCCTTTAAATATACCAGAGTCTTAGAAATGACAGCAGAAATGTCACCTCTCTATTATTCTATAGAAAACTGAAAGTAGGGGTAATAAAAATCTTTGTTGTGATTTAAAATACCCTTGCAGAAAGGGCTTTGTTTCTTATGTCAAGAATCATTAAAAAAAAAGAAAGAAAGAAAGAAAGAAAGAAAGAAAGAAAGAAAGAAAGAAAGAAAGAAAGAAAGAAAAAGAAAGAAAGAATCAGGGATGCCTGGGTGGCTCAGGACATGGTCCCAGGGTCCTGGGATTGAGTCCCACATCAGGCTCCCCAAAGAAAGCCTGCTTCTCCCTCTGCCTATGTCTCTGCCTCTCTCTCTACATCTCTCATGAATAAATAAATAAAATCTTGAAAAAAATAAAAATAAAAAAGAATCATTTTATTTCCCTTACCAAAGTAAAAGGACTTAAGCTTATTATTCATGATATAAGAACTATCCATAATAAGCATTTATTTATAATAGGCATTTCTTTTTTTTTTGGCATTTCTTTATCATGTAAGGAATATTCACGTGGCATAACAAACATAGAGTGCCATGCATTAGCCTTGAAACTAAACAACAGGAAAGAAAAAAGAAGAAAAAACTGTCGTCTAAAAAAAAAGTATGACTAGAACTTTGCTGTTCATGAAGTCCTAAAATGATTTTTATATTGAGAAAGATTGACAGTTATATAAGTTTTGCATGATAACTAGTACAGAATATTTATTTTGTTTGTTTTGTCAGTGCTGTGGGACATTTTATCACCCTTGTGCTACTTTTTAACACATAAACTTCCACTCAGGTAAAAGGTAATGACCAGTTGATATATATTTGGGCAGAGTCTTATGTAATGCATATTAAAGACAGTAAGACTTTTACTTTGTTTTTAATTTTTTTTAAAAAAAGAATATTTTGCTAAGGATTACTCTAACCAAATTTTGAGGTTTTTGAGTCCAAAGACATTTCACCTACTTCAGAATCTAGGAGGCACAAGAAAGAATTTTCAAATCACTAGCGAGCAAAATCATTTTATAAATATTTCTAAGCTATTTAAGTTCGTACACTATTCTTGGCATATGAGGTCATAGAAATGCCAAATTTTTTCTAGGTCTATAAAATGAAGAAAACAAAGTTTTAGAATGGCTTTGGTTTAAGAAAAGTATTTAATAATTGTCTCAGATTGAGACACAAGAACATATATTTTCACAGATGTAAAATTCAAGCAAAGTATTGAAAAAAAAGATGGCAGCCATTGGTAAAGCAGTATTATAAAGAGATTTATTAAATCAAGATTACATAATTTCTAATTAAAAAATTTGCTTTATCATGCATCAGTTTGTTAACTTTATTTAAGTCAGAATTTGGATGTGGCATTTTTTTTAAATTACTTCAGGTACTAAATCAGCAGCATTAAGAGTTTATTTGCAGTGTTCCTTGTGGGATATTCTGATTCTCCCGGTTATGACAGAACAGATTCTTTGATCCCTACCTCTTGTCTCTAAGTTGTATTTTTAATGGGAGGGAACAAGAGAGGCAAAGTTCTTTAAATTAATACTGAAATTGATTTAAGATGCTATTTCCTCTTTTGCAAACATTTTCAAACATAAATGGCCATATTTGTATGGGGGTCCCCCTCTTCCCACTGAAGATTAGTTTTCTATTTCCTCACCTTGATATTTAGATATGAAATTTAAACATGCATAAATGACTTGAAGACTTACCATGAGATAACGTATTTTTAATTTCTTATATGGAGATGAACATTGTCATCTTACCTTCAGGCTTCGAAAAGGATTATTTTTAATGATCTTGATTGAATTGGACATTAGATGGAGTTCAGTCAAATTCACGCAGAAGACAAAAGTTTGATCTGAAAGGTGAGATAGCTCATTGTGTTGGAGGTTCAAAATTTCCAACAAGGGGAGTTTTTGGCACAATTCTGGCTCCAGTTTTGAGATGGTGTTAAATCCTCCATCCAAGATAGTAAGTTGGCTATATCTTGTAAAATTGGCAGGTGGTAATCTTCTGAGCTGATTATGGGTGAGATTCAACACTGTTATGTTTGCTGGGAGGTCATCAGGCACTTGAGTCAACTTCAGGTGACTACAGTCAGCTACTTCATGTCTAACAACACATTTATTGGTAGAGGATGTACACAGTATCCAAAAAGGCAACAGTCCCAAAAAGGAGTAGATATGATAAAGCAAACTCTGGCTCATGATTCTCCCCTCTAAAAGAAATGTCAACAGGTAAGAGATAATATTAATAACATAGGCTTTCATAAGCATTGGTATATTTCTTATAAAATAGATAACCAAAAGTGACGATGTATGATCTTTTTACTCGCAACTTCTATGATAATACAAGCATGTATTATACAAGCAATACATCAAATGGAAATAAGTCAAATAGCACAGAAAAGTAAAAAAATGGGGCATACAAACTCCCTCTTCACTCTTCACCCCCATCTCAGTTTCAATGTGTCTTACTGAAAGAACCACTATATGTGATTTCTATAAACCAAGATAAATTAGTTTTTTAATCATACTTTTGGGTGAATGGCCAATTTGGAGGGATATGTCTAACACCGGCTATTTGGTTATCATCTTGGAATCCATTCCACTGTTGTATTCCTGGGTGAATGCCACTATCATGGTTTTTAGTACCTTCTTTCTTGAATTTTTTTTTTTTACTCAAGTATCTCCTTGAATAGCCCTTCCCCCTCTCTCTCCAAAATATTTTTTTTAAGATTTTTTTTTAATTTATGATAGTCACACACACACACACAGAGAGGCAAAGACATAGGCAGAGGGAGAAGCAGGCTCCATGCACCAGGAGCCCGACGTGGGATTCGATCCCGGGTCTCCAGGATCGCGCCCTGGGCCAAAGGCAGGCGCTAAACCACTGTGCCACCGAGGGATCCCTCTCCAAAATATTTACAGGAAGTTTTATCTTTCAAGTTCTTGAATATCTGTTTTTGTTCTCTTGTCATATGATTTTGATGTGTAGGCTATTTGAGGTTCAAAATACTTTTTATGCAAAATCATGAAGGCATTATTCCACTGTCTTCTAGTGTTCATTGTTGCTAAAAAGAAAGCATGCCCATCTGGTTTTCTTTCCTTTATATGAAAGATACCTTTATTTTACTCTCCTTTTCCTCTTTGGAAATTTCTTTTTCCTTGGTATTGTAAGATTCACAAGGATATTTCATACTAAATCTTTCCTCTAAAATGCAGCTATACACTCTCAGGCATTTTCAATCTGAGGACTCATGTCTTCCTTAAATTTTTAGATTTCTTTTTCTATTATTCTTTGGATTATTTCCACTCTTTCTTTTCCTGTGTTCTCTCCTTTGGAACCACTTTTAGGCAGACATTGACCCTTCTGTGTGATCTTATTTGTATTAAAAGTTCCCTCTTCAGGGCCACCTGGATGACTCAGCCAGTTAAGCATCCAACTCTTGGTTTCAGCTCAGGTCAGGGTTGTAGGATCCAGCCCCACGTCAGGCTCCATGCTCAGTGGGGAATCTGCTTAAGGATTTTCTCCCTCTGCCCCTCTCCCCCTCACTTGCACTCTTGCTCTCTCTCTCTAATAAATAAATAAACAGTAAAAAAAAAATTCCTTTTATATTCTACATTTTTATCTTTTAATTCTCTATTTCTAGATATAAGCTCAGCTTTTTGTATCGGGATTTGCATTATATATACTTTTTAAATTTTAGTAATTATATTTTAAATACATACAGAACAGTACACAGATGATGAATGTACAGCTTTTTGAATTTTCATAAAGAGCATGTCAGTACATTCGCCACTCATTTTGAGAAATAGAGCACAATGAGCCCCCCAGAAACCTCCCTTATGCTCCTGCCCAGCCACCACCTCCTCCTTCCCCAGACAAGCACTTCATTATTTCATACACAGAAAGATTAAATTAACTTGCATTTGTGTATTACATGTGTTAACAGCATTGTGCACTATGTAACATTGTATGCCTTTTTTTTAAAAACTCCAATTTAGGTTTGTGAGATTGATCCACATCTTGTCCTTTAGCAGGATTTGCTCATTGCCATTCAAGCAGAATATGGCTATATACCATGTTATCTTTTTTTTCAGCATTTCTAATGAAAAACCCTAGACAACAGCACAACTCACAGAATTTTACAGTGAACACACCAGTGTTATCATATATCTACCCATCTATCCATCCTCTATCTACCAGTTCACTGAAGTATACTGCAACATCAGTACCTTTCCGTCTAAAGAATGTGCATTGCTACCTCCAGTTCAGTATTTAAAAGTCTTTTTTCTTTTTAATAGAGTTTTTCTTTTGATATAAAATTTGCATACACTGAAATGTACAAATCTTTGGTGTACATTCTCTGATTTTTGACACATGTATACATCCGTGTAACCCAAACCCTAAAGAGATCCCCCATCCCCTTCTGGTTCATTCTAATCCCTGTCTCCCAAAGACCATCATAACTCTGACTTTCTTCTACTATATTGTTAAGTGACTTATAACCTACTATCAGTGGAATCACATTCACTCTCTTAAATGAGGCTTCTTTCACTCAAGTGATCTTTTTGAAGTTCATCCATGTTGCATTTTGGGAGTTTTTTTTTTTTTAAACTAAATGGTATTCCATTGTATAAATATATTTTATCCATGCTGATATTATTAGACACATGAATTGTGTGAAGTTTTTCACTAGTATGAATTAAGTTACTATAAATATCTTTAGATATGTTTTTATGGACATGTATATACTTGATTTCTTTGGGATAATTACTTGTGACTGGAATTGCTGGGTATTTGGTAAAATGGGATATAGTTACTTTTATAAGAAACTGCCAGATCTTTTAATGAAGTTTGTACCATTTTACATCTTTACCAACATTTGGTACTATTATTTTTCAGTCATCCTGGTGAGTGTGCCGTAATATCTCATTATGGTTTTAATTTTAATTTCCTTGCTGGCTAGTGATATTTAAATATTTTTTAAAAAGATTGTATTTATTTATTTATGAGAGACACACAGAGAGAGGCAGAGACACAGGCAGAGGGAGAAGCAGGCTCCATGTAGGGAGCCTGATGGGACTCGAACCCAAGACCCAGGATCATGCCCTAGCCAAAGGCAGATGCTGAACCGCTGAGCCACCCAAGTGTCCCTATTTAACAATTTTTTATTTGCTGATTATCCATTTGTATATCTTCTCTTATATATTTTAAGATTTCACTTATTTTTAAAATTAGGTTGTTTCTTATTTATTATTGCATTACAGGAATTTTTTATATACATAGGTATTAGTCCATTGTCAGATTTATATTTGTGAGTGTTTTCTCCTATTTTGTGGCCTATCTACTCATTTTCTTAATGAGTGATTGTATCTTCAGAATCATGGTAAAGTGTAATTTATCATTTTTTAATTATTACTACTTTCTGTGTCCTGTCTAAGAAACTTAGCCTACTCCCAAATTGTTCTTTTTTTAAAAAAATAAAAGTATGGTTTTAGGTGTTAGGTTAAGGCCTGTGATCTCTCTTTAATAAAATTTTGTGTATGATGTGAAGGAGGAGTCAAGGTTCATTTTTTTTTTTTCAGTTGCACATCCAGTTTGTCATTTTTTTTTTCCTTTCCCCACTGGATTGCTTCAGGATCCTTCTTAAAAACCAAATAAATGTGGGTGGATTTAAGTGTGGGTCTGTATCTGGGCTCTCAACTCTCCTACATGGAAATACCTGTCAGTTCTTAGGCCACCATCACATTGTTTTGATTACTATGGCTTTATAGTAAACATTGAAGTCACAAGGGTAAATCCTCCATTTGTTATTCTTTTCCTAGATTGCCTTTCCCATGCCGTGGTTAATAGGAATTATCTGAAATAATTTTACTTATTATTTAATTCATTCTTCCACCTGAGTGGAGTATAAAGCTATAATAGTAGAGGACGTGGTTGTTTTTACTCTGTACTGCTTTGCCTGTGTCTAGAAAAATGGCTGGAACATAGCAAATATTGAATAAATACATGTTGAATGAATAGCTTTCCATGGGCAGTTAATTAGCTCAAGAAAACTTCTTATCTCTGTAAATAGTCACAACTTTATTTTGGTGGGATAGGTGATATTCTTTGGTATGACCATTTACCTAATTTCATTTTCAGATATTTAAAAAAATCAAATAGATTGTCAATGTATGGAGATAGATCAATAAAAATGATATTTAAATAATTTAAGTTTTTCCATAATTTCTAAAAGTCATGTCACAAGAAAAATTCCAGATAAGTTTTAGAGAATAAAGTCATTTTTGATGATTAATTGTAGTAAAATAGAGCCAGTGTATTTATAATTGTTCTAGTAGGCTTTTTAAAAATAGTAGTTTTACTTTTAATTCTAATCTAGTTCTCAGAAATAGAAAAAAAAAGTCAGTTTCTTTATAATACTGGCACTGAGTATCATTAAAGCTAGACACAGTTTTTATATTTATAGGCTATGACGGCTATGACAAACATCACCGGTCCAGGCCAGCTAGGATGCCCCTCACCAAATTGCTCAGGTACATGAAACGTGGGGCTGGAAATGGTACATTCTGGAAATCTGGAACCAACTCCCCAAACCTCACCTCTCTGAGATCCTCCCAAATCTCTCTTCCCTGTACCATGAGTGCTTCTACTTCTCCTTACCAACTCAAACCTACAGTCCCTGCAATATATTCTCCTCCTTGTCTGGGGACATTTATCTCTTCTGGTAGGGCTATAGAGATCAGAATTACTGAAAAGGACTAATCTCTTTACTAAGAATATCCCTGAAGGACTGAAAAACATTCCCAGATCTGAAAATATATTCATCACATGGAAAAGACTGACCAAATTACAAGTAGGAGGAGTGAAAAAGGAAAATCCACAGAGAGAATCTTATGAAATTTCAGGATTGTAGCCATTCACAAGAAAAAAGTCCCAAAACCTTCAAAGGAGAGCATACAATCAAATACCTCCAAAAGAAAAAGGTCCTGATTGATAGAAAACTTTCATCAGCAAACCTAGCCACTAGAAAGCAATGGTGATTAGCTTTCGAAATGATCAGGGGAAATAATTTTGATCCAAAAATTTCATTTCCAGCTGAACAGCTCAAGATAAGGAGAATATGCAAAGATTCAGTAAGTTTCTAACTATGCAAACTGTATGAAAAAATTATTCTGGAATTTGCTTCAGTGAAACAAATTATTCTGGAATTTGCTTCAGTGAAACAAATGAAACAAATGAAATAGAAGGGAAAAAAACTGCTATTGAGTGTGACGTAGTAGAAGCAAAGAAAGCTGAAAAGACGGAAAATAGATACCGAGTGGGCCTTGCAATTTTAGAAAGGTGCATAGAATTCCACGTCTCTGTCCAAGTGGGAGATAATATTGTATCATGAGAAAGACATGGAGTCTGGATCCAGGCTACTTAGAGCTAGCCACTATTTAGTTTGGCTTCTCCAGTTTGGTTTGTGCACTTCGCAATAATTTTTTCCCCCTGAATGTATACAGATACAGCTAACTACAGACACACAATCCTACTGTAAAAATGGGAGGTAACTTACTGAACCAGCATGGCCTGAGGCTGACTTGGATTTCGTCTGACTCGCCTGCATTTGCCAGTGTTACTTTCTCATCTTCCTGTACACCTAAATGCCTTTCTACTTGTCACCTTCTCCACTTTGCCTTTATGAAGTCAAAGAAAGCCACTTTGGAACTCCCAGGAACACTTGAAGTGTTTTCTCTTTTTTCAAGCACATGATCACAAAAGGCCAGCTCCTATCTCCTCTCCAGACAACAAAACTGAGGGAAGGAGATAAACTCTTTCAAGCTCACAAGGCTCTGTAGCTAATGTAAGACGAAGATATGATTTGTTTCAAAGGTTGTTACGAAATAATTTCCATGGATTTCCTAATGAGCTTTTCCAGGTTCAGAACTGCACATAGGAAAAAAAAAGAATTACTGCATAAGATATTTCAGAATGTTAATTATAAATTCTTGCTATTATGTATATTCTGGGTTAGGATACGCTTCTCTCTACACCTCTATCAGCTCTCTTCTAGTCTCCTTGTTGATTCTGACTAGATTTCAAGCACCAGATCAAAGAAAGACCAAAGAATGCTAAAACCAACGTGCAGTCCCAGTCCGAGCTAACGAGAGATCCTCTCCCAGTAAGAATTTTAAAAATATACCTTCATTTGCTCTGATAACGGCTGACCATTCCTTTTTTTCATTAGTCCAAATCCAGTTATTTTCACCAGGGAAGCATGGAAGATTTCCTGCGATCTAGAAAGTGAAACTAAAAAAAGAAAAGGGAAAAAAACTTCAAGTTCTTGGATTCTAAGAAAGGCAAAGGGGGAAAAAAAAAACACAATATCAGCAAGAGAACTATTAAATTGCTTCTTAAAAATGTCTTGCTTTTTTTCTTCAGGCAGTCCCTTAAAAGGGTCACAGATTTAGTAACAGAGAAGTTGAAAAAGTGGAACCTCCCTTCTTGGTGTGGGCAGGGCTAGTGCTCCAGAGGTTAGTAGATACCTGAGAGTGAATTCCTCTGTTTTTTTTTCCCAAAGGCTGTACAAAACTGTCAGAACCTCCAGAGTGTGGTCAGAGTGACAGAAAAAAACCTCAATCCTTAATCAAAGCTAAGTACTTTCACTTCTCTTACCTTCTTAGCAACCCTGGAAGGTAAGTAATGCAGAAATTAACCTTTTGATCCAAGAAGACACGGAGTTCACAAAAGAGGAATTGCTGGCTATGGCAAATCCAAAAGCCAGCCCCAATTCATGCCACTCCAGCTTCCACAGTCAGAGCCTGCTAGGGAGCAAACAGATCTTCCCACAGAAGTCCAGATTCACCTGGTAGTTTTCAGTAAACTTTATTGACTAGTTAAAGGAATGTGCTTATCAGGAAAAGAACACACTTCCCATTATTGATATCAGAGGATTTAATGTTACTAGCTATATTGTTATATAGTAAAATATAACACTTAGAAGGAGCTGCAGAGATCACCTAATTTCAACTCCTTTGTTTGAGAAATGAGGAAACCTAGCATGGTGAAGGATTTGCCTAAGAATATACCACAAGTTACCACAGTGCTTTACTACTCAGACAAGAAGAGTAATAAAACAGCCTGGAATATTTAAAACATGTCACTAGTTTGACTTGACTGCAGAACTGACAGCAAGAAATAGGTTTGTATTGTGATGTAACATGTCTTCCCTTGGGCCTCAGCTTAATTGGACTACCTTGTGGTCACTGGGCTCATGGTCATGCTTTCCTGATTTTCTCACTTGTCCTATCTATAATATAATACCATAAGCAAACCATTGTACTGTGTAAACAATTGTCTCCCACGTCTACCATTGTAATATGCAGTAAAACATTAACAGTATTCATAGGTTTCTTCTCTGTGAGCTCCTTGAAGCAGAACAGGATATGTTCTTTGTATTATGACTCTCTAGCCACTCTTCCATGGAAGGCTGGTACTTTGGCCTCCAAGGAACCAGGCTCCTCTTCAGTATTCAGACTTTTACATTATTTTTTCCCACATTGACTCTGGGTTTGGCCATGTGACTAGAGTTGGCCAATAGGATATTATTAGGCATGAAGTAAGCCAAGACTTGATAAGCTTTTGCACATTGGCACTTACCATCTTTCTTTCTGAACTCAACTGCTATGTGGTAAGAAGCCCAACCCAACCTTCTGCAAAGGCAACATGGAAGAGAACTGAAAGTCTGGTCAACAACTCCACTGATCACCTAGAAGACAGCCAGCCTCAACTTGCTGTCCATATGAGTAAGTCATAATGGGAGTGGATCTTCCGATCCCAATTAAGTCATATGGGGCAGGTGCCACATGGAGTAGAGATGAGTTGTCCCCAGATCCTGCCAAAATTACAGGAGAGTAAACAAATAAATAACTGGTGTTGTTTTAAACAAACAAAACAAAACAAACCCTGAGTGGTGGTATGTTATGTATCATACATACATAGATAAATGAAACACATTCCCTCTACAGTCCAACACACCCATTTTTATACTTTATGACTCCTTGTGCATATTAGGCTTTCCATAATGTTGATTGAACTAATGAATGGCTTTTTCCAAATGCTTTTTATTGATTAGTTCATAATGCAACAGTTTACATAGAGATATTAATGTCCTCAATTCTTGCTAGTTTCTGAATACATCACAGGTCAGTTTCTCTCCACTGTAGATTCCTTAATCATTGCATTAACTTATTTAGCTATTATGGCAGTAGGTGCTACAATGACAAGACTCATTTTTTCCCTTTTTAAAAGAATTAAATCAAAGTTGTTTGTGATATATCTCCATAAATGTAAAATTACAAGTCCAATATTTTTTGGTATTTTGCAGTATGATAGATAAGCCAATCTCAGAATAAAAATGAAGCTGCATTATCCCCAGGGCAGACAAGATCTATAGCATTCTAGAAGCCAAAATCCCTTAAATTTATTAAATTTTACTGATTTTACTAAAATTTATAAATTTTATAGTTTCCTCCTTCAACTTGAGCAAGTACTTGTTAATGAAAATTGAGTAAGATGTATATGCAAAGAATCTGAAAGAATGGTTTGATAAAAACAGCAAATTTCAGAGTCCGGCAGCTATAAGCTGAATGTAATTGGTAACTTACTATTTGTATATTTATGGAACCAAAGACCCTCTGCCCTTCTCTGCCTGCTCCTAATAATAATTATTGATACATTAGACATTGTTTTTAAAGGGCAATTACAGCCTTTTTAATGCTAGGCAAAGAATTTTTTGATGATTGAATATAATGTATAATCACTAGGAAGTCTATTTGTTTCATCATAGATTTGTAAAGGAAGGCTTAATTATTGTTTTCATCATCAACAACATCTATAAAACTAGACTACTGAAGGCTATATGAGACAATGTTTACAATTTCTCATATAAATTAACTTAAACATGAAGATTGCATTGTTGTAATTTCTGACAACATATATACAAGTTGATATTCTGCAGAGAACAGACTATGTGAAAAAACAGGTTAATATCAGATAAAATAATTATACTATTGCTGGATTTTATGAGATCCAAATAGAGAACTAGTTATTGAGGAATATTTAAACTTGGGTCAGCACTGAATATCCAATTGCCAGGGAGCTGCTGGTATTTGGGTATTTAAGAGTCAATATCATGCACAGGTTTAATTTAACATGGTTCTTAAGAATCTCCACAATAAATTGGACTAACCAATCTACTGGACAACTAATCCCTGTGTTAACAGGAAGCCCCAGTAAGGGCATACCTTTTCATCATTAAAACTTCTCATGGGTTTGTAATGTGATTAATGTACTATGGACCTAGGTAAAGAGTTAAGTTTGCCTCAGAGCACTAGCTAGGTAGGCATTTTAAATTGTACTCCCTGGTCTCCCTTCATAGCCACCTTTGAAACAGACATGATCCTACTCTGTACCATCTGAAATTTCTGCAGGCATTTCTCTCTCTCTCTCTCTCTCTCTCTCTCTCTCTCTCTCTCTCTCTCTCTCCTCTTTGGTATCTGAACTCTTTTTCTAATGTAAAGGTACAGTTCCTCTTACCAGTGTCATTTCCATGTCTGCTCAATGACTTCAGTTGTTTTAAATTAAGCTCATCCAGACAACTCAGCAAGAATTTTAACAAGAGAGGAAATAATGCTATGTTCTTCCTACTACTCTAACAAGTACTGAGCAAAATGAAACTTGAACTTCCCTTCTGAAAAAGAAACCAACATATGACACACAGAGCTTCTGGTTTAACCTAAACTTGCTTACTTATTTATTTAGTAATTTTTCAAGGCAGTTGAAAATGGTGATATCTTTCAGTCTCTTATAAACCTGTGAAATGTGTTAATACGAATAGGATTTCACTGTCCTTTACGGACAGTCCCATGGTATGGCTAAGGGCCCTTTAAACCGTATGCCTTGAACTTAATATTCATTTATTAAAATAAAAAATAAAATTCTAGACCCAAATTCACTATGATTCTACACTTTAAACATCTTAATTAAATTTGGTAAGCTGCTGTCCACTGGGCATCCAAAGAATGGAGTCATAAATGGCAGACAAAGTCAATCACACTTAACACAAGAAAGTTTAAAGTGTCAAAAGCAACTAATAACTTAGTATAATCATATCGAACTGGTCATTGGTGAGAACTAATGCTCACGAAATTGGTCTCTATTTTATAATGCAAATTTTGAATCAACAGGGGAAGTTAAAAAGAAAGCCCAGAGTTGGAAAGGCTGGACACTTGCTTTTGACCACACTTCTTGATTTTTCCCTAGGAGGAAGCTCAATCTGTTTCATGAGATGGTTTATAATAAGAATATGGGAACCAGTCCTTAAAAAGTATGAAGTAAAAGTGGAATAAAGGTGGGGCAAGGAAAAGTTTCTTATGATAAGGATATAGAGCTAAAATACATAAACCTAATAAAGTTCAGAAAACCTCAATACAGAGTTTGTAGCCTATATAAAATGCTAGTCTTATTCTTCTCTTTATCTAGAAATAAACCAATATAAGAGTTGAATATATACTTTAATAGCATCCAAAAAATGGTAACATTTCTTTTTTCTTTAAATTACCTGCATGTGTTTGTTCAAATTGCTACTTGGTTTCATATTCTTATAATGGATTTACTGTAAGAGCTTTCTGGGATATTACAGAAGTGGCTTTCATCTAAATGTATTGAAAATTTTTGCCTGATATGTTTCCTTTTAATTTTTAATAATGATTGTTTTAACTACACAAAAGCTCATAACAGATGTGATATTTGCAAAATGTCAGACTATCATTTGTAAAATGATATTTGGAAAATGTTTTATTCTGTGAAAACATCAAAAACTAATAAACTGGCTGAACTAACCTTATAGCCAAAGATCAACAAGTGAATTCCCAATCAAGAAAAATTTACCTTAAAAATGATAGGAAATTTCATGGAAATTTTACTCACCATTTCCCTACTCCCTCTTGGCTCAGCACAGTCTTCATATAGAAGATGCAGCAGCCAAAGTCCCAGCTATGGATTAAACTAACTGGCAATGTTCTACCCTTTCTGGAGGCTTCATAAAGGACTAGTAGTTTCATCTAACTTGAATCTCAGACTTAGGGAAAAGCTGTAGTCACTGTTTGTGAAAGCTTCAGGAAGATTACATATACAGAGGCACGTGAGGCAAAAGAGGACAGATGGGTACATATAATTGACCATCGAGGTCCCTGGGGAGAAGTTGGAATGGGATTCTTTGAGCTATTAAGACATTCAAAAATAGCCACGTATGTGGAAGAATTGAGAGAGCCACACATAAGCCCAGGCAAGAGGCATTCTCAGAAAAGACCTTAATGGACCCTAAGCTTTTATCTCAGGCTTATCCCTAAGCTTGGAACACACCAAGCCAGTTGATGAAGCAGAGCCTTAGCACAGAGCTGGTTTGCAAGGATTGGGACGGGTGTCCAATTTTCAAGTAA